TCCTCCTAATATAGATCAATATGGGAAGCAGCTGGTTGAGGTGGTGAGTGGATAGACATGATAAATGTTAAAAAAAAAAAAAACCCTTGGCAGAGTCAGAGTCAGGGAGGCACCCAGGGGAGGCCACCTCCTAGTCTCTGTGTTGAGTTACAGGAAAGAGACCATAGGTGTGAGTCTGCCCTGGTTAGGCAGAGTAGGCCCTGGTCTAAGACATTTAACTCCCCTCCAAAAGAGGACAGAGTATAGAGCTCCCAAAGACAGGCCTCATGACTCCTACCTCTCCTCCATGGCAGAAATGTTCATGGAAAGCAGCAGCCAACCTAAAATTGTAGCTCAGAGGTAGAATGACAACTGGTTCCCTATAAAGTGAGGAGAACGTCAAAAGATACATCAGCTTGCTCTAGGAGAGCAAAGAGCAGTTCTGGACAGAGATGCTCACGTTGTTGGTATGAACAAGATAGCAGTGAGTGTCATGACTACTCTGTGAAATGCTGCAGCAGAGGAACGCAAGAGAGGAGCACAGTTTATTGGCTGGGCATGGTGGTTCACACCTGTAATCCCAAAACTTTGGGAGGCTGGGGCACGAGGATCACTTGAGGCCAGGAGTTTGAGACCAGCCTGGGCAACATAGTGAGACCCTGTCTCTATTAAATATATATATATTTTTTAAATAAAGAAAAGAAAAGAAAGGAACACAGTTTGCCAAAATAAACATACAACCAATCTGGTCTATCAGAAAACCCAGTCCTAGAAAACTCAACCTCACAGGTATTTTATGCTATAGAAAGGCTCAGCATCGATTCAGTAGAAACAAAAACTCAAGATGTAGCTATGATAAAACAACAATGGGATTCTTTTTAATTTTTATTTTTAACTGTGGTAAAATGTACATAACATAAAATTTGCCATTGTAACCATTTTTAAATGTACAGTTCAGTCATGTTAAGTACCTTCACATTGTTTTATAACCAATCTCTGAAAGTCTTCATCTTTCGGAACTGAAATTCTGCACCCATGAAACAATAATTCCCCATTTCTCCCTCTGCCAGCCCCTGGCAACCAGCATTCTACTTTCTGTGTCTGAATTTGACAACTCCAAGTACCTCATATGAATAGAATCAGAAAGTATTTATCCTTTTTTGACTGGCTGATTTTACTTAGCTTAATGTCTTCAAGATTCATCCATGTTGGAGCGTGTGTCAGAATTTCCATCCTTTTTAAGGCTGAATAATATTCTGTTGTATGTCTATGCCCTTTTTTGCATATCCATTCATCCAGTGATGGATACTTAGTTTGCTTCCACCTTTTGGCTATTGTGAATAATGCTGCTGTGAACGTAGGTGTAAGAATTTCTCTTTGAGTCCCTACATTCAATTCTTTTGAGTATATACCCAGCAGTGGGATTGCTGGATCATACGTTAATTCTATTTTTAAATTTTTGAGGAACTGCCATACTGTTTTCCACAGGAGCTGCACCATTTTCCATTCCCACCAATAGTGCACAAGGGTTCCAGTTTCTCCACACCCTTGCCAACATTTGGGACTTCCTGGTTTTTGTTTTTGTTTTTTGTTTTTTTGATAGTAGCTCTCCTAATGAGTGTGAAGTGGAATGGAATTTTTAAAAGAGCCAAGAAAAGAAATTAAGAACAAAAACACAATACAACGTTAAAACCAGAACACACACACACACACACACACACACACACACAGGATAGACATAGCTGAAAATCAAAGAGTGAGATAATCCCAAGGAGGGGATTAAAGCAATAGGAACAATATGACAGCCATGGAGGAGAGGCACACCCATCCAGTATATGGAGCAAGAAAAGAATGCAACCATGTGACCCAGGAAGATTTTCCCAAAAGGAAGATAAAACTGAATCTTTGGTTGGAAGGTTATGCCAGATACCTGGAAGTGCAGATATAGAATGGATAACATATACCCTGGTCTAAAGTTTCGGTATTTAGACCTCAGACAGGAAAAGCAAGTTACACAAAATACTGGATGACTAAGTTGGTATCAGAATTCTCCACATTTTTCAACAACCCCTACCAGAAAGTATGAACAAGGCCTACAAACTTTTAAGGGAAATAAAATTATTTAAATAATGTAATATAAAATTATGAATATAAAAAAGATAAAAATAATATAAAATTGTTCTCTAAATATTAAGTTATTATTCCAGCGAAGGCAATAAGCAGGCCGCCTTGACCTGAAAGAAGTCAGGGACTATTGCAATCATGAGCATTTCTTGAAAACAAAAAAAAAAACCACCCTGTGATGAAATTGACCCAAATGACTCAAATCAGAAGAACAGACCCAGGAGTAGAAAAGCCACAGATGAAAAACAGTAACAACAGCAGCAACAACAAAACACTGCTGAGCATTCAAACCATTATAATTCCACCTTAGGACTAAACAGTGGGACAAGGGGCATGGATGATTGTTAAAGAAATGTATAACTGTTAGGCATCTGACAAAATACAAATTATATAAGCAAAAAAAAAAAATCAAGTGTGAGGAAATGGAGAGGAAATGTAAAGTAATTATAGAATATTACTATAAAAACATGCAGTTAACCCTTGAGTTTTCATAACTTTTTTCTGTGCATTAAATTGTGTGTATGTGTGTGTTTTCAAGTATGTAACTTATAACTGCCAGTCAGAATGTCATTTTCTTTCACTTTTGCTTTTTCTTCTGTTATATCCAAACAAAATTAAATAGCTCTTACTAGAAAGAAAAGTTCATATATTATCATTTTAAATGAACCCATTACCCTCTATCTAGCCTTCTACCAGGGTATGTGCGTAAAGAAATATTCAGAATGATGATCACCAACTGTAAACACAATGGTGGGATATTGGATGATTTCTTTTCTTCTTTGTGCTGTTTTCTGTTGCTTTAATTTTTTTTTTTTTTTCCGAGAGAGAGTCTCGCTGTGTCCCTCAGGCTGGAGTGCAGTGGCACGATCTCGGCTCACTGCAAGCTTCGCCTCCCGGATTCACGCCATTCTCCTGCCTCAGCCTCCTGAGTAGCTGGGACCACAGGCGCCCACTACCGCGCCCGGCTCATTTTTTGTATTTTTAGTAGGGACAGGGTTTCACCGTGGTCTCGATCTCCTGACCTTGTGATCCGCCCGCCTCGGCCTCCCAAAGTGCTGGGATTACAGGCGTGAGCCTCCGCGCCCGGCCGCTTTAATTTTTTTAAATGAGCCTATGTTTTTATACAAACCGTGAAATCATTGCTGTTAATCTCAACTATTGATCAGTAGTGTCATCAGTATTCTAATTGCTTCTTAGTCCTTGTTTTTTAAATTGTAGTGTTGACAAACACCAGAAAGAGCCCTTGACAATATTTTTGCAACTCATCTCTAAGGTATTGGCCACTGCCCAGAGGCCAAAGGCACGGGCTGTGGAAAACATCAGCTCTTGTAATAAGGTGCCTTTGCCTTCTTATTGAATCATAAATCAAAACACAGTAGTGGACTGGTGAGCGTGAAGTAGACTGACCTGAATCCCTGTGATGCTGATGGACGGGAGTCTAGTGTACTGTGCTGTCAAATGTCTGAACCTAGCGAATGACTTTGGATATTTGGAGTCCCTCTCAATCTCTGCACTTGGCTGCTGCTAGTGCCTTTGACTTCCTCCATTGGGATTCTCCTCGCCTTTGCACATGCAATTCTCTCTTCTGGAGATGCACCATGCGCTCTTCCTCCTTCATCACCCAGCTCCTCCTCCTAGTGTTCAGGGCTTAGCTTTAGCCTCCTTCCCCTGGAAGGCCTTCCCTAATGAACTTAGGAGCTCCTTCTATATAACCAAAGGCACTGCTCGCTGGTTTTGCTGGGCACATTTATAACCATTTACTCAGTGTCATGCTTCTTAGCAGACTGGCCTCAGGCAAATAGGAATCTAGTTCAGGAAGTGGAAGGTCAGAGTTCCTCCTTGCTCCTCTCAGCACATATTTCCTGTTCCTCTTCTGGGCTCTGCCAGGACGGTTACTCCACTCTTGAGGCCTCTGCTACGAACAAACCCCACTCTCCTCCCTTCCTGCTACCCCATGGCCTCTTAGGTTTATTTTGTTCTCAGCAGCCCTCTTGGCTCCTGCTTCTGTTAGCAGCTACACCTTCTCTCGGTAGTATTTCAAGTTCAACCTCACTGGGGAGGGTAGCTGTTTAGTTTAGCCTTTGTCCTCTAGCACCTGCCTTTCCTGCAGGGAGGGGCATTCCCAGCCTTGGAACAGGCCCCACCACTAAGGCCACAGACAGTGCCAGAAGGAGCTGGGGTCTGTGCAGCCATTCTTGAATTCCCCCAGATGCCTTGCCTGGCCTTGAGTAAAAGGGAGATAAGTGAAAAAAGCATGTTACGAAGCAGCATGTACAAGGTAACCCTACATATGTGTTTTATATATCGAAGGAAATAGACCAGTTATTATCAGTGAGTTTTTCTGGTGGGATTTCTAGTTTTTATTTTCTTGCTTACAAAGTTTCTGTAATAGGCCGGGTGCTATGACTCTTGCCTGTAATCCTAGCACTTTGGGAGGCCAAGACAGGTGGATCACCTGAGATCAGGAGTTCAAGACCAGCCTGGCCAACATGGTGAAACCCCATCTCTGCTAAAAATACAAAAATTAGCTGGGCATGGTGGTAGGTGCCTGTAATCCCAGCTACTCGGGAGGCTGAAACAGGAGAATCACTTGAACTCAGGAGGCGGAGTTTGTAGTGAGCCAATATCATGCCATTGCTCTGCAGCCTAGGTGACAGAGTGAAACTCCATCTCAAAAAAAGAAAAAAAAGTTTCTGTAAAAAATGTTTTCGTAGGTACTAAACGGTATTGAAGCCCTGAATCATGGCATTGTACAGAGCAGCCCCCAGGAAGACGAGAGCCAATTGGCTCTGCCATTTGGAAGCATTGCCTTCTTCTCCCCACGATTCTCATTTCTGCCCCCAAATGATGTGTTTGTTGCCTTGCTCATTTCACCCGGGTGTCTTTTTCCTCCTCAGGTGACAGATTGACTGGAATCCCCTCGCACATCCTCAACAGCTCCCCATCAGACCGGCAGATTAACTGGCTGGCCCAGAGGCTGGGCCCTGAGTGGGAGCCCGTGGTGCTGTCTCTGGGACTGTCCCAGACAGATATCTACCGCTGTAAGGCCAACCACCCCCACAACGTGCAGTCGCAGGTGGTGGAGGCCTTGGTCCGTTGGCGGCAGCGCTTCGGGAAGCAGGCCACCTTCCAGAGCCTGCACAATGGGCTGCGGGCCGTGGAGGTGGACCCCTCGCTGCTCCTGCACATGTTGGAGTGACGGTGCCTCCACCAACCGCTGGGGAGTGAGTCCCTGAGTCATGTGGCTGAATCCTGACTTTCACTCAGAGCAGGTGGTGTTTTGTGTAGGTTTGTTTTTTATTTTTAATGATCCTCAGATGGAAGGAGAAAACAGGGTTTCCACTAGATGTTATTTGAAAGGCCAGATTACTCAGCAGATCTCTCACGGTGGCTCAACAATTCTTTGTTTTTAATTGCTTGAAGATTGCATTGTTGTAATTGTTCAGTTTTTAAATGTGTAATGGCATTTTAATAGACTATTAAATCACAGTGGTTCAAAAATATATATATATATATCATGTCATCACATTACAAGCAGGTATCTCATATGTAAAACATTTACCTGAATGTTGTCTGAGGACTGAACTGTGGACTTTACTATTCATAATGATAAAATAATAAAATGTGAATTACTACATATCATGTGCCTCATTCATGAGAAAGTAGTGCATTGGGTTTTTTTTTTTTTTTTCCTTTCTCGTTCCTGTATTGCATAGATTAAGGGTGTAAAATTACAGTAGTCTTTTTTTTCTTTTTGGAACAGAATTCATAGTAACAGTGAAATGGTTACTTTCACAAGTCAGGATAAATAGCTCAGGCAGGATGTCTGTATTAAATGTCGTAAGACACTAAAACTCCCTGCAAAGACCAGTTCAAGTACCAGCAAGCATACCTGAGCCCTTCATCTTTAAAAGATTGCTCAAGAAAATCCTGTGCTGTTTATTGAAAGCATTAAGTCGAGATGAGAGGGGATGTGGTCTTTCCACTGAAGCCAGAATGATTGAAGTGTTGTGCTCCTAAGGAGTGTGATTTAGTCTTCTGTCCTTTTATCAATAGCACATGGTGCTTATAGAATGCTTTACTGTTTTCGTGGCCTTTCCTGTATGTGATCTCATTTGGACCTCTCAGCCATCCTGAGTGGGCAGTGGGCAAGGTGGTTCAACTCCTTCTGTAGAGAGATTGAGCGATTGGCCCAGGGTGAATGAGCTTGGGCACCAGCTCCTGAGTCCTTTCCAACTGCTCCACAGGACTCCTCCCCTTCTCTCTTGCATGCTCACTGAAGAAGCTTGACTCCTGCTCCCCGCCTACTAGCTGTATGGCCTTGGACAAGTTACCCTCTCTACGCCTCAGTTTCCCATTGGGAGAATGGGGAAATGACTGTACTCACCTCTGAGGTCTTTGTGATGATTAAAGCAATAATGTCTGCCAAGAGCACATCCAGATGCGGTTCACTGTCAGCTTTCAGGAAATGGTAGCTGTTAATGTGCCGCCACTGTGGCTGAAGGTATAGTTAGACCACAGGCAAAACTGAATAGTGGCTGAAAGCTGAGGGCACTGTGGGAGGAGCTACTATTGCCACATTTCTTACTAAGCTTTAAAATGGGATTTGATTTTATAAACTTTACAATGGAGCCAATCTGTGATCTATCCTTATTAATAATTATGGAATCTGTTTCCTAATTCTAACATAACTCAGGATTTTTCAAAAGGGAGGAAAAAAATCATGTTTTTTATTTCTCTCCATTCCAAGAATAAGTTTATAGAATGGTAGAGTTGAACGCAAAGTGGGTGCTTAAAAAGATGACAATAGTATGTGGATCATATCCTTTCAGGCATCTTGTAACCATATTCCCATTACTTAAAAAGAGCTGCTATGCCACACTTTATTCTTTCAATGAATTCGGTTCAAAAGGATAGTCTACTGGCTTTATCAGTTCAAATTTTCCATTTTGTAGCCCAGCCAATAATTCATTATCTTGTAAAATTCTCGTAGTTGGCCGCCTCACTGCGCCCAGTGATAGACTATACTGCTGTGGCATCTTCAGTGAATCACTTGTCATTTTGAACCTGGGACTTGTTACATTGCTGTCTTCCCCCCTGGGTTTCCTAATAGGGAGTTGCTCTGGCTTTTGTTCTCACAGCTCAGAGTCACATTCATGGATGAGTGAGTAGAGCTGGGCTCTGCTGCATCCGACTAGATGGCATTAGCAGGTCTGATGATTAGCTGGGTCATCTTTCCGCCATTCACCATTTGCAAGGAATCTGTCACGCATAAAGACACTTGTGGGCTCTCAGCAGTGAGAGACAGTTAGTGAAGAACAAGCCCATGATGGGCCAGACAGACAGGGCTGAGGGGGCCCTTAGAGACCTCTGACTTGTTGCCCTTAACAAGAAGAGTGTCTTCACCACCAAATGGTAGCAGCCCCTCCTTGGGCCTGCTCAGGTGCTTGCAGAAGATTTGCAGAGTGGAAGAGCAGAGCAGCTGAATCCCTATCTTGGTCTACCTCTGGCCATGATGAATAATGCTACATAGCAGCTGCCTGCCTCCTAACAGAACTGGGGAGGTGATGAGCCTGCAGGGATTTCCTGTGTTTTGTATGGGAGAAGATTCTACAATTTCAGAGAAATTTCTTGTTTACCCCCAAGAAAACTGAATGAATGCAGCGAGGTGGCAAGAGCATTTGCAGGCACTGACAAAAAGTATATTAATAGACAGTCTTGCAGCACTTTGGGTTGGGTTGCAGTGTGCATGCGTGTGTGTGTGTGTGTGTGTGTGTGTGTGTGTGTGCTCGCGCGCATATTTGGGTCCATTTTTTGCAATCCATGACAGCCAATATTTCTAAACTGAGATTTCTGGGCCCTATTGAAAAACAACCTTTGGCTACTCTGGATCCCCGTCCTTGAATCACAATAACAGGTAAGCCTTTTCTATGCGTGAGTGTGGCCCTTAATGTTTTTAAAACTATAACTTTTATTAAATATTCTCAACATAAAATACATGTTTATTATGGCAGTTGGAAAAAAAACAAGATGAAGAAAAATAAGAATTATCCCTACTCCCATCTAAGCACTGTACATCCCAATTTTCATCCCTGTCCTCCAATTAGTTTTCTCTGCCTGCATATTCTTTTTATAAAAAGAATAGGATTTTCTCTGCATTTCCTTATAAAAAGTGTTGTATTTTCCAAATGATAATACACATTTTTTTGTCAATGTGAGGACTATTTAGAGAGACTAAAATGTGTAATTAAAATTTAAATATTCCTCAATGCCATACTCCAAATGGTTATATTCATGGCTTAAAATTAACTAAATTAAGTTTTCGATTTATAACAAGAATGGGATTATATCGTACCTGCTGCTTTACAAGTGGCATCTTTTATATAACATCAAACTGTCTTTCTGTGTTATTATTTCTCTATGCCAATGATTTCAACATCCTTTGTGTTCACCACACACTTTCAAGTCCTATAATTTTTGGTGGCATGTTTGAAGAGATAAAAATACACTTAGCTACTAAAAAGATGACAACAAGTATAGCAATGTCTTTCACTCTCAAAACCATTGTCCTACTTTTTGCTCCATCCCCATTTGGAACCACATTCCACTATTTGAGTAGAGCTGTTTACGGCTCCCCTCTGTGCACTCTTATATCCTCAAAAAGCAAAGTTTAGCACAGTCTGGGCTTTATTCTGAGATTTTCTCTCTTCCTTACAGCAAGATGGCCTCTACACTACCTGATGATCCAATCAGCTTCGTGTTCCATTTCCACAAGAGTACGTGTTCCGGGAGGGCAATGAAATTTTACCTGTTGATCAAAATTTGATGGCACACTTATGAAGGGTTGGTAGTCTATGTGTAGCCACTATTCTCTGCCATCATTTTCAGCAATGCATACCTTTCCAGTATGCGGTTAGGCCATCATGTCTTAACCACTTCCCTGCATGGATCTTTAGGTCGGTTTTGCCTTTTCATTATTATAAAGTGATGCAAGGAAGGGAGCATTTGTGGTTAAATCTTTACATTCATCAGACGTTACAATGAATTCGATCCCTGCTTTGTTTAGCGCCAAACATATTTTAATTTTGTTCTCAATTAGCTTTTTTATATAGCAAACCACCCCCAAGATGTAATGGCTTCAAACAACAAATGTATTGGCTTAGAATTTAGCCCACAATTCTGTGAGCTGGCTCGGCTTGCTCTTCCAATCTGGGCCGCTCAGCTGATTTCTGCTGGGCTGTCTCGTGCATCTGTGGTGAGCTGGTGGGTGGCTGAGGAAGGATGCTCTAGGGTGGCCTCACTCATGTGTCTGGAAAGTCGCAGGCTATTTCCTGGGGCAATGGGTCACATGTGTCTAGGTCACACCCTTTTATCTGTCAGGTTACCCTGCCTTCTTTACATGGTAGTAGTGGCGGGAGTTCCCAGGGCAGCAAGAAGGCAAGCCCCTGTGTGGAAACACCTTTCAAGCCTCTGTTTGCATCCCTTTTGCTGACATCTCTGGCCAAAGCCAGTCATGTGCCAGCTCAGAGTCGGTGTGGGAGGGCTCTCCCGAAAGGCATGGAGAGAGGAGGGGAATAATTTGGGTCGATTTTTTTGCAATCCACCACAGCCAATATTTCTAAACTGAGATTTTTGGGCCCTATTGAAAAACAACCTTTGGCTACTCTGGAACTCTGTCCTTGAATCACAATAGCAGGCAAGCCTTTTCTAGCATGCCACGGTCCTTCCCATCGCCCACCCCACAGTATCCATATCCTTTACCCAGCTCCTTCCACCTGCTCAGCCACACATATGTTTATGTTGATGGCCTCTAGATCATAAACATATAGACATATAGCCATGATGATGCTTAGCATAATCTCCTAGAAGTGGAATTGCTGGGCTTAAAGTATGAATAACACTTTTAAAAACTTTTGACTTTTTAACACTTTTTAAAAACTTTAAAAACGTATTTTAGGGATGGATGTGGTGGTCCATGCCTATAATCCCAGCACTTTGGAAGGCCGAGGGGGGCGGATCACTTGAGCTCCAGGAGTTCAAGACCAGCCTGGGAAATATTGTGAAACCCTGTCTCTACTAAAAATACAAAAATTAACCAGCCGTGATGGCCAGCACCTGTAATTTCAGCTACTTGGGAGGCTGAGGCAGGAGAACTGCTTGAACACAGGAGGCGAAGTTTGCAGTGAGCCAAGATCGCACCACTGCACTTGAGTCTGGGAGACAGAGCAAAACTCTGTCTTAAAAAAACCAAAAAAATTTGACTACCTTTGCTCTAGAAAACATAGGGTATCTGGTTTAAATGCCAGTTAGTTCCACTAGGCTTTGGTGGCCCACTGTGAAAGTTGCTGTTGGATGTACACACACGCACACACACAGAGTCCTGAGGCAGTAGGATGAGTCTGTCTTCATCCCTTTCTCTGGGGAGTTCTCCAGGTGTGGTAGCTTTGCATAGAGCCTCCCCTCATTCAGTTATTCAGCAAACACTCAAGCAGAGGCTACTACATGCCAGTCACTCTGTTAAGCAGGGAGGTGAAAAGGTTACTAATAAATACACAGTTCCTCTTCTCCAGGAACTCACTGTTTGACCAATGAGACAGACGTGAAGCTCTAATTACAACAACATGCAATCAAGCCTGTGCCTGAGTATCGAGTCTATGGGAAT